GCCAAGGTCGCTTAGACCACTAACCAACTCTTTCTGTTTCAGTTTGTCAAATTAAAGCTATATTTCACACGTAACCTTCTCGATCAACATGATTAACTTTTGAGTTTTATGGTCACATACATCGTGAGGAGATGCAAAGTGTATAGATAAGACGGAAGGTGTGATAGAACTGAACATCATCCTCAAAACACTGTATCCGTGATCTGACAAGTGACAGTGTGTTTATACATTGGGTAATAATACAGTTATACAAAATGACAAAGGACGACCAAGTGGCCTCGACCTCGTGACCTCGTGACGTCATGAGATCATACATGTACAATTACACGCGGTAGCCTCTCGAAAACGAGTCGTAAAAAGCCAGATAATACAGTACCAGGATGACAATAAATGTACCTCCTGGAGACACGAATATCTGGATCGCAACGTATAGAAAAATAATTGTGTCCTTCAGAAAAATTAACAGTTCAGACACTGAGAAGGTTACAATGCGGAGCAAGTGTTCAAGGAAATAAAACCTAATTTTACCAACATGTTCTGTTAATACATTGCGGTATTGTACTGTCATGAGAGCCTTTCGTATTGATTAAAGAAGAATTCTCGATGTTGTTTTCAGCATATGAAATATTTCATACGATATATAAAATAACATATGTATAGTAAAAGTGAATTCAGGGGCCCACTTTTCCTTGAATTAATATCAAGTTGTCTTGTCACAGTATATCTTTGATATTGCGCGACTTGATGTAGGATTTGTCTCCCCTGACCTGTATATTATGTGGGTGCAACGTGTGTTATATAGAATGTCCATAAAACAGATTTTCTTAACACTTTTAATACATATGATATTGAAGCGAAATTGTGAGAAGACAAGACGACAAAAATGTGCACCAAGTAGATGATAAACTTTATATCGAAGATATATTCATTGGTGAATATTGTTGCTCACGTTCATTAAAAAAAGGTAATTACTTGTTATCGATTTTCCGAAAAGTACGAATTTTCACCTGCGAATACTACAATTTGGAGGTTAATAGATATCAGTTTACGCTGTAAAATAACGCCACGTGTTCCATTAAAGCAAACATCATAAGAGTAGTAAATAGGTTGTTGACTTGTGTTTTCATAGGATACTTGTATCGGCAATGGAATTTCAGTTTCAAATGTTTGTCCATTAAAATGAGCTGTGAGTATTTTTTTTTTCTTGTTTATTTTCAGTCATATAGTGAGTATAAGATACAACATTACTATCAACAGCAGCTACATCCCCGAACAACGCGTGACGTGATTAAGGACGTTTGCCCCCGTCTACAAATATGTACATGATCCGGTCCATCTGACACGCTCCGTCCGTCTGAAGCGGACAGGACTATTCCATACTTCATTCCCAGGACCATCACATCTTCCCGTATGATACACAAAGATCTCGGAACAGATCCCAACTTAAAACTAACACTGCACTACTATTAGATGTATATTTCCTGATACTTCCGGTACACAGAACCACGCCCTCCCTGAGGTCGGTGAGACGGCGATAGAGGTGACTTCCGCTTTACAATCGACCCTCTCCTTAACGTTCCCGTTTTGTTTTCCTCTCCAGTAAGACAGCCAAGCTTCGTCATCTGTACGACAGATATTGCAAACATCGTAATGGAAGGAAGTTTTGAAAATGGAAACAGAACTAAGATTTGGAACAGGATGAAATTCAATATTATCTCCATCAACTAATAATGCTCCCAGCATCCGGTCCAGGAGTTCAGTATGGACTTGTTCCTGGTTTGAAGGTTGCTGTTTCCAAAGTCTTTACAGTTGGTGATGAAGTTGAGTTACTCGTGACCTCATCTGCTTCAGTAATGACGTCAACATTTGAACCGGAAGTCGCTAGCTCCTGACACCTGAGCAGTCGGAGTCTAATTACCTACCTTAAGTGTTTTGTTAATTCTGCCTTGTTGTTCTCGGTGATGTCGGCAATTTAACTTCTCCAAATATCTACAAAGTTTTACTGACCTCTTAATAAGTCCGTCGATATCGTTTTTCATGTCTTTGCCCTGACGTTCGATGTCGCCAATTATTTTCCTGAATTGTTCACCGCTTTTCTCGAATTTTTCGTTTTGAAGAAAAACTGATGTAATTTACTATCAATTATTCCATTAAAAGCAGGGGCGCCAAATTAGGACGTTCTGTGGCCATTCAGTGGTCATCTTTTTTGAAATACACTTATAGGTCAGCTGCAGATAGAATGTGTCAAAATATCAGCTCTTATCTCTCCCTGTCGTATACAAATAGTATTTAAAGACGATGACTTGTTTAGAATATCAATTTCTCTATGGCTTTTACACGAATTATTTACTCTTGCCTGCAACATTATAAACGAGCTATGTTTATCGGATTTCAGATTTGTTTCTTCAAACTTTATACGCTGAAAATGTCGCCATACGGCTGTTTCATCCATCTAGGACCCGCCATTGATGTTACATTATTTGTAGCTTCGTTGTGCGACCTCGAGATTCGTTTAATGTACATCAAAGGATCAAACTAGTCTTTTCGCCTTGTCCACAAGGTGTCGCACGTGGAACCTTCAATTTTGCCACGACATGTTCATGGGGTGCAAATAGCGGAAGTAATCGTAACCCTTGGAGTATCGAGGATGATGCCAAATTGTCCAGTTCCGTATAAGAATGTCATTTTTCAATACCAGTAAATTGTTCCCTTAAACTTCATTTCCCTCTTTATCACGACAGGAAAGGAACTGTATGGATTTATATTTATTATCTTTCATCAAGAAACTTAATCATAGTAAAGACACGAGTATACTACTCATATTCATGGAAATTCCACATATAATGTTGTTGGTCATGTTGTATACGGCTATTGGTGAAATCCACATATAATGTTGTTGGTCATGTTGTACACGGCTATTGGTGAAATCCACATATAATGTTGTTGGTCATGTTGTACACGGCTATTGGTGAAATCCACATATAATGTTGTTGGTCATGTTGTACACGGCTATTGGTGAAATCCACATATAATGTTGTTGGTCATGTTGTACACGGCTATTGGTGAAATCCACATATAATGTTGTTGGTCATGTTGTACACGGCTATTGGTGAAATCCACATATAATGTTGTTGGTCATGTTGTACACGGCTATTGGTGAAATCCACATATAATGTTGTTGGTCATGTTGTACACAGCTATTTGTGAAATCCACATATAATGTTGTTGGTCATGTTGTACACAGCTATTGGTGAAATCCACATATAATGTTGTTGGTCATGTTGTACACAGCTATTGGTGAAATCCACACGGCAATGGGTTATTTGGTTTAGATACTGTCGGTCTAAATGTTTTAGGAGTGTATGCATTCAAGGGAGGGTCTTGGGGCGGTAAGGGGAGTAGGGGGGTGTCTTGGAAGCTGTCGGGTATAAGCTTATCAGAAATATATATTCACTGAAGACTGGAATGATATCGTCTAAGATCAGTAACATTATACCTTATCGGTATTTGTCTTTTACTTTTAAGTTTGATTAATATTATTTCCTTTTGGGTCGCTGTGTGTTTTACCGGTTGTTGGCCCTAATGAACTTTTATGTGTTGACGGGCCGTTAAGAATGCAATTACATAACATAACACATTGACTAAAGCCGATAACAAACTATTAGGATTTAATCAATATTGAAAATGATATGACATTAATCATCATATTAAACTTTAAATGTTTCCGTCTGAACAGACGTTGTCCTTTATCTGTGTAACTTATTTCAAGTGACAGTGTAGAACTTATGGTTGTAAATCAAAATATAACCAATTGATAAATACGGAAGATTTTGTTGGACACAACGAAACATTTAAGGAGTACCTCACAACATGAAGTTAAAAGTTAACTAAATTGTCACATTTAAGTATGGGACAATGATGCATGCTTATATCGTAAATAATTGTGCAAAAAACAAGAGTGAATGATATATTTTAAAGTAAATTATACTCAGTAGTGCCAAATAATGTGTTAACATGCAGCATACAGCTGTTTCGTCCTTCTAAGACTCGTCAATGATGCCAAGGGCCTAAATTTGTTTTCTAAAGAGATCGACAGAGATGTTTAACTCCAGATGTATTAGCCTCATGATTCAATAATTCGCGTGGTTTTCATATATCTGATACTTTCGGGATAATATCAATTAAGTTTATGTGTACATTCTGAACCGTGCCACTATGCGGATGAATTAAAACGTGGCATACAGGTTACGTTAAACCATGGTAAGTGAAGTCCACCAGCAGTGTCTATCACCTGCTATCTAACATATGAAACCAATCCGAGTATTGTTCATTTTCCTAGCCTCTGGTGGATAATATGAAAACAAATCGTGTGGAATGGAATAAATCTTATATATAATGGAGGTTATTGTAATGTTTTACTGATAGGAAATTATTGTGATAAATTAATTTACTGAATTCGGTCTGACGATATTGTTTTAGCATCAAGTAAGTCTGATATTGAGAGGAGTCCTCCATAGTCTGCTAAAAGTGCAGTCAAGACAAAAAGAACACAATTATAAGGTAATTAATCTTCACTGGAAATATCTGCGAACATTACAATACACACAACACAGCCAGCCATTTTGATATCAGGCTAACCTCTGCCAGCATGGATATAAATATTCTCCTTTAGCATATCTAGGGTTTCACTTACGAATACAACAGAAGTTTTATCAATTTATCTGGCTCAGTACTTTAACAGATTCAAAATCAATCAATACACCACCCCTAACTTTCTTAATTGTTTGTGAATGTACATACGAATATCGGTGATACGCGTGTTTAAACTGTTAGATATCATCTCGTCCTATCAGAGTTGGTCACGGACGCCATTCCTTGATATTAAAGACTGTGTATGTTTATCCTTGTTTCTTAGTGTTGTATTGCGTAAAGTCACTTATCACTGAACGAAGAGGATAAATTTATCTGGATTTGATCAGGAGGGTCTCACGTCACGGTTTTCATCTGTATTTCATTATTGTAAATGTATTAGCCTCGTCTCCGATCCAGATGACACGATCACCCTGTAGGCTGATGCACCGTGGTACCGATACATCACAGACGTATATAGTCCGCAGGAAGTGTCCATTGTCCCCGTCTATAAGCATCACTGACTTTGTCACCCCTTCCGCCGTAAGAACATCGCCTCCTCCGTCAAAACAAACGTCACGCGGGTAGAACTTGGACTGTTGACTTTCACCTGTTTGTAGGTTCATAGGCTCCAAGTACCGACATTGGAATTTAAGGTCCAGATGGTTGTCCATCAGAATGACCCGCGGCTGTTTTCCTTGTTCCTTGCCATTAATGTAGTTCTCAAAATCCACACCGTCATTATCAACAGCAGCTATATTTCCGGTGTATGGACAACACGTGATGCGATTGGGCACATTCGCCTTCTGTCTACAAACACTGCCCGCTCCATGTGTCACCCTCCGTCCGTCTATTGCATACAGGAATATTCCACCCTTCATTCCCACCACCACCATGTCTTCTCGTGTGGTACACAAAGACCTCGGGGCAGATTCTACCTTAAAACGTATCACCATCTTACCATCCGACGTACATTCCCTGATGCTTTTGTCTTCTTTGACACAGAACCACACCCTCCCCGTGGTCGGCGAGACGCTGATTGACTCCACTTTGACTTTACACTTTATCCTCTCCTTGCTGTCTCCTTTTTGATCCACTCGGTATATTTTGCTTTCATTCCAGTATGACAACCAAGCCTCGTCACCTGTACCACATATATGACAAACATCGTATTGAAAGGGTGCTTTGAAACTGGAAACAAGAGTAGTCTTTGGGAGAGATTGAAATACAGGATTCTCACTGTCAAATAGTACCGTACCTAACATCCCCTCTAGATGTCCAGTATGAACTGTTCCCGGTTTGAAGACTGCTGTCTTCAAACTTCCTACATCCGGTGGTGCAGTTGAAGTACACCTGACTTCTTTTGCTACAGTGATGACGTCAAAATTTGAACCGGAAGTCACTACCTGCTGACATCTGGCTAGTCGGGGTCTAATTACTTCCCTTACGTGTTTTATCAATGTAGTCTTATTCTTCACAGTGATTTCGGAATTTGCTTTCACCAATTCTCTACAAAGTTTTACTGATTTCTCAATAAGTCGATCGATTTCTGTTTTAATACTTTCACCCTGGCTTTTGATGTCGTCTATCACTTTCCTTAGCTGTTCACTACTTTCATCGAACCTTTCATCATTTTCTTCAATATCTTTCTCTAATTTTGGAATGTCCGTTTTTAAAAGTTTTTCCTGAAATTGCCGAATTTGACGTTTTTGGTCCAAAATATGCTCCGTTAATTTGCCAAGGTCATGTTGATTATGATAGCCTACTACACAATCCATACAGATCAGCTGATTGTCACAGGTCTTACACACGTAGACAAAACCCATACCTGGATGTTGGGAGCATCCAGGCACTGGATCCTGTGCCGCCATGTTATTGTCAGGTCGTTATCCACGACTTAACATTGTGGTGACATTAGTAGTATTCTACAAGGACACCTACCGGGAAGTTCGCGAATTATTTTGTTTCATTTTCCAAGCACCGATATCTACCTGTACTTTCATTGGTTTATACAACCATTACGTCGTTAAAACCTATTGAAAAAAAATAAAACTAAACGGTAAACGTGTTTTTTTCTCTAAAGTAGTAAGATAATAAACTTTACAAACGGCAGCCTTGGTCCCCAGATAACCCATAGCTAATAAATCAAAGGAATAGTTTTAATTTTCCGTTTGCCAGACCTGTGAAAATCAATTTGTGATGTCACGTGACATCTAAATACTGAAGTGCCCCAACATAGAGAGTTTTATGACATAATACGTGTATTTTCTGTGTTATCACTGTGTCTACTTAGATCGTGAGACATGTGTATCAGTGTGATTCTCATTCAGGTATCAATTAGTTACTAGTGTAACATAGTTCTACCGTAGCCTGTTTACTGATGAGCTTGGCGTATACTTTATAGAAATGTATGTATGATAATGTGCTTTGCACTAAATAGTGCTATTCATTTGTTTGTCATTTGTACAAACTTCGAGATTGCTGTCCATAGACACTGCTGATAAACATGAAGTCCCCGAGGTTTGCCGTAACCTACACGCCGCGTTTTATTTCATTAGAATAAGTCATGGTGCAGAATAAATACATGTGCTTGTCGTCTTTCTTATAATAAATAAACATAACAAAATTACCGAAATTGTCATTTTAGTATTTCTGTACAGGTACCTCAGTGACCGAACTTGTCGATCTAGTATTTCTGTACAAGTGTCGCAGTGACCGAACTTGTCGATCTAGTATTTCTGTATAAGTGTCGCAGTGACCGAACTTGTCGATTTAGTATTTCTGTACAGGTGCCGCAGTGACCGAACCTGTCCATCTAGTATTTCTGTACAAGGGTTGCAGTGACCGAACTTGTCGATCTAGTATTTCTGTACAAGGGTTGCAGTGACCGAACTTGTCGATCTAGTGTTTCTGTACAGGTGCCGCAGTGACCGAACTTGTCGATTTAGTATTTCTGTACAAGCGTCGCAGTGACCGAACTTGTCGATCTAGTATTTCTGTACAAGTGTCGCAATGACCGAACTTGTCGATCTAGTATTTCTGTACAAGTGTCGCAATGACCGAACTTGTCGATCTAGTATTTCTGTACAGGTGCCGCAGTGACCGAACTTGTCGATCTAGTGTTTCTGTACAAGTGTCGCAGTGACCGAACTTGTCGATCTAGTATTTCTGTACAAATGTCGCAGTGACCGAACTTGTCGATCTAGTATTTCTGTACAAATGTCGCAGTGACCGAACTTGTCGATCTAGTATTTCTGTACAAGCGTCGCAGTGACCGAACTTGTCGTTTTAGTATTTCTGTACAAGCGTCGCAGTGACCGAACTTGTCGATGTAGTATTTCTGTACAAGTGTCGCAGTGACCGAACTTGTCGATCTAGTATTTCTGTACAGGTGCCGCAGTGACCGAACTTGTCGTTTTAGTATTTCTGTACAGGTACCTCAGTGACCGAACTTGTCGATCTAGTATTTCTGTACAAGGGTCGCAGTGACCGAACTTGTCGATCTAGTATTTCTGTACAAGCGTCGCAGTGACCGAACTTGTCGTTTTAGTATTTCTGTACAAGTGTTTCAGTGACCGAACTTGTCGCAGTGACCGAACTTGTCGATTTAGTATTTCTGTATAAGCGCAGCAGTGACCGAACTTGTCGATCTAGTATTTCTGTACAAGGGTTGCAGTGACGAACTTGTCGATTTAGTATTTCTGTACAGGTGACGCAGTGACCGAACTTGTCGATCTAGTATTTCTGTACAAGGGTTGCAGTGACCGAACTTGTAGATCTAGTATTTCTGTACAAGGGTTGCAGTGACCGAACCTGTCGATCTAGTATTTCTGTACAAGTGCTGCAGTGACCGAACTTGTCGATCTAGTATTTCTGTATAAGTGTCGCAGTGACCGAACTTGTCGATCTAGTATTTCTGTATAAGTGTCGCAGTGACGAACTTGTCGATCTAGAATTTCTGTACAAGTGCCACAGTGACTGATCTTGTCGATTTAGTATTTCTGTACAGGTGTCGCAGTGACCGAGCTTGTCGATCTAGTATTTCTGTATAAGTGCCACAGTGACTGAACTTGTTGATCTAGTATTTCTGTACAGGTGCCGCAGTGACCGAACTTGTCGATTTAGTATTTCTGTACAGGTGCCGCAGTGACGAACTTGTCGATCTAGTATTTCTGTATAAGTGCCACAGTGACTGAACTTGTCGATCTAGTATTTCTGTACAGGTGCCGCAGTGACCGAACTTGTCGATTTAGTATTTCTGTACAAGTGTCGCAGTGACAGAACTTGTCGATTTAGTATTTCTGTACAAGCGTCGCAGTGACCGAACTTGTCGTTTTAGTATTTCTGTACAAGTGTTTCAGTGACCGAACTTGTCGCAGTGACCGAACTTGTCGATTTAGTATTTCTGTATAAGCGCAGCAGTGACCGAACTTGTCGATCTAGTATTTCTGTACAAGGGTTGCAGTGACGAACTTGTCGATTTAGTATTTCTGTACAGGTGACGCAGTGACCGAACTTGTCGATCTAGTATTTCTGTACAAGGGTTGCAGTGACCGAACTTGTAGATCTAGTATTTCTGTACAAGGGTTGCAGTGACCGAACCTGTCGATCTAGTATTTCTGTACAAGTGCTGCAGTGACCGAACTTGTCGATCTAGTATTTCTGTATAAGTGTCGCAGTGACCGAACTTGTCGATCTAGTATTTCTGTATAAGTGTCGCAGTGACCGAACTTGTCGATCTAGAATTTCTGTACAAGTGCCACAGTGACTGATCTTGTCGATTTAGTATTTCTGTACAGGTGTCGCAGTGACCGAACTTGTCGATCTAGTATTTCTGTATAAGTGCCACAGTGACTGAACTTGTTGATCTAGTATTTCTGTACAGGTGCCGCAGTGACCGAACTTGTCGATTTAGTATTTCTGTACAGGTGCCGCAGTGACGAACTTGTCGATCTAGTATTTCTGTATAAGTGCCACAGTGACTGAACTTGTCGATCTAGTATTTCTGTACAGGTGCCGCAGTGACCGAACTTGTCGATTTAGTATTTCTGTACAAGTGTCGCAGTGACCGAACTTGTCGATTTAGTATTTCTGTACAAGTGTCGCAGTGACCGAACTTGTCGATCTAGTATTTCTGTACAGGTGCCGCAGTGACCGAACTTGTCGATTTAGTATTTCTGTATAAGTGTCGCAGTGACTGAACTTGTCGATCTAGTATTTCTGTACAAGTGTCACAGTGACTGAACTTGTCGATTTAGTATTTCTGTACAAGTGTCGCAGTGACCGAACTTGTCGATTTAGTATTTCTGTACAGGTGCCGCAGTGACGAACTTGTCGATCTAGTATTTCTGTATAAGTGTCGCAGTGACCGAACTTGTCGATCTAGTATTTCTGTACAAGTGTCGCAGTGACCGAACTTGTCGATCTAGTATTTCTGTACAGGTGCCGCAGTGACCGAACTTGTCGATTTAGTATTTCTGTATAAGTGTCGCAGTGACTGAACTTGTCGATCTAGTATTTCTGTACAAGTGCCACAGTGACTGAACTTGTAGATTTAGTATTTCTGTACAAGTGTCGCAGTGACCGAACTTGTCGATCTAGTATTTCTGTATAAGTGTCGCAGTGACCGAACTTGTCGATCTAGTATTTCTGTACAGGTGTCGCAGTGACCGAACTTGTCGATTTAGTATTTCTGTATAAGTGTCGCAGTGACCAAACTTGTCGATTTAATATTTCTGTATAAGTGTCGCAGTGACCGAACTTGTCGATCTAGTATTTCTGTATAAGTGCCACAGTGACTGAACTTGTCGTTTTAGTATTTCTGTACAATCGTCACAATGACAGGAATGTCGAATTTCAAACGTAATTGATCAACAACATAACATTTAGTCAGTGTTTGTTGCCGTTAACATGTCGGCGGGGTGTATAACTCAATTTCCTCTCATTAACTTGGCTGATAACAAATTTCTAGGCTCGAAAAATAATCAATGTTCAAATTGCGCCATTAAATCAGCATTGTAAAGTACAGAATGATGAACGTATGCATGGGACATCGCTAAGCTTTCCTTTAAACAATTAGTCATGGTTTGCTAAATCTGCATGTACACTGGACCAACGATAAAAAAATAAACAAAATATTACACATAATGTATCAGGATTATCGAACAATGTTGAAGAGATTTGTAATATGGTAGATAAATAAGTTAATTAAATTGTTCAATCAATGCATTAAATGTATTGAGATGAGAAATGTAATTTATAGTAAATAACTTTTAAATATTTTCATTTATTTCTACTAGTCGGGTGGTGCAGTGGTAACGCACTCGCCTTTCACCTAGCTGTCCGGGGTTCGATTCCCGGAATGGATGTGAAAAGGTATGGGGTCACCTGCCCGACCACGTAGTTTTTCCCTGGGTACTCCAGTTTCCTCCCACAGTTAGAACCCTCGCGCGCTTTCATCCGAGCCAACAAGAGTGATTAATATAAGTTGGAAAAACTTGCTTCGCAATTATTGTAAAATAAATTAAGTCATTAGTTATAAGCCTACAAAGAGTCGACAATAAACTACTACTGGGAAACACCTCTGGAATGTATATTATCTAGATGTATCAGAACGACACAAAAGCACTGTTATAGTTGGATTATCCAGGGGAAATGGCATAATGAGAAATTCCTACAGGAAACAGACAGTAAAACTAAAACCGACGACGGGTTGGCACACAACAATTTTGGTAATTAGCCAAGAATGGAAGCACACAATTATGTAACTCGGCGGGGGCACAAATGATGCAGACGTGGAAGATAACTTTCTTAAAAATCATCTGAACTCCTGCGAAGCACAAGAGTTGTTTTTGTTGTAGAAAAATTTGATTACCAGCGGTTATAGCGGAGACTGGACAACAGATATTAACGATAACAAACGATGTTCCTAGACACAGAAAATCCTCCACCAAGCAGAGGAAAGCCGATTTAAACTAGTAAGAATACCACGAGGAAAATACATTCTGTCTATGTTGGCGGTTCAGACTCTGCAAACATAGAACCGTGAACATGTTTAGCTCTGATATGACTAAACTTCACCTTCATGTGAGTAGAACACTAAACAGAAAGCTGAAAACAAATTTCGGGTGGATATGATTACAATATACATACATATTATATCCTATTTCAACTAAGATGGCGGAGAACAGAGCCAACATTATTCGAACAATAATTAAAGACAATACCACTATCTACGTCATAATATTATGACGTCATCATGAAAATTTCTTAAAACCTCGGGGTGAAAACCAGGGAAATCTGTTTTCTAGGTTTTTTTCAATCAATGGTGCCAAAGAGATTACTGATGTACTATTACACGTAGAATATCCATATCAAATTGAAAGCTATTTCATAGCTTTTCATCAGCATTCTGTATTTGTAAACAACAACGCATGCACCACCTTGCCATACAACAAAAGACAAAGGGATGGATATTATAAAAAAGACAATTCGAAACAAGAACAATGCAACGTGACAAAAAAATCAATAATCAATCAAATCTAGCTTGTACAGTATATAACTTGTTCCGTTATTGGTATTATTTATGTGTATAACAATAAACACACACAAAATAGTGTTGTTATCGATCTATAATGTATACATGATTTATACTTTTACAAATTTTGTTTATCATATGATTTAGATATTTTTACTTCATGAAAACATCATTTAACAACACTGATACAAAATTCAATTTGACGATCGTTCAGTAGGCGTGATCTATAATAAGAGTAGTCTCCCCTAACCTGTTTGCCATATGGGGATTTAAATATGAAACAAAACGCGATAATTAGATTTGAATTGATTTTACATCGGACACGTGTTCAAACAACCCTTTGAAATATAACTATTCACCTCTAGCATTTAGGGGCTCCTCTTACGAATAAAGCATTCTTTATTTCATCAATTTCTATGGCTATGTATTGAATGGACATCACGGTAAACGATAATAGTGACACGGTAAGTGACGGAATTGTGAACGACAGTAGTGACACAGTAAGCAAAATCCCATTGGTCGACATTGTCGTTTTAGTATTTCTGTATCAATGTTACAGAGGTCGACATTGTCGTTTAAGTATTTCTGTACAAATGTTATTGGTAGACATTGTCGTTTAAGTATTTCTGTACAAATGTTAGTGGTCGACATTGTCGTTTAAGTATTTCTGTACAAATGTTATTGGTCGACATTGTCGTTTAAGTATTTCTGTACAAATGTTATTGGTCGACATTGTCGTTTAAGTATTTCTGTACAAATGTTATTGGTCGACATTGACGTTTAAGTATTTCTGTACAAATGTTATTGGTCGACATTGTCGTTTAAGTATTTCTGTACAAATGTTATTGGTCGACATTGACGTTTAAGTATTTCTGTACAAATGTTATTGGTCGACATTGTCGTTTAAGTATTTCTGTACAAATATTATTGGTCGACATTGTCGTTTAAGTATTTCTGTATCAATGTCAGAGGTCGATATTCATTTGTTTTATGTACTATGTATGTGATGTAACTTGTGTAATACTTTGTGTGTTGATAAAGGGGCAGATTGTCTTGAAAATTGGACAATTCAATTGTTCGTAATGTCGTTATCATTTCATTGATATATATATAATGTTGTATTTTAACTGACAAATCTAGGAACAAAGTCTGAAGCTGTCATTCTAATTACCAGTCACACAGCTGGAAACATCCATAACAGTCAGGGATCTGTTCCTCACCAAACAAAGATCAAACGATGTCACGGTGCTTCGGTCGACAAGTGAACTGCTTTACTGCATCAGAATGCCGTAACAACTGACGAGAACGACACAGACAGACAATGTATTTCGAGACAATTAATTCTACATCGGATATATATGTTCGTTTGTGAACATCACACTTCATACAAAACAAATCCTCGACACCACCAGGTATATTATAACAAGCGTCTATTTGAATCAATTCCAACTCAAAATCACATAAGAAAAGATGATAGCTGCCATTATAACGGATCATTAAAACCTGCGTCTGTCATGCAGTCACGGTTGTAGGAAGATGTAGAACGGTCTGTCGTGTCCGTAGTTTCCAATTCCGAGAATAACAGGTATATAGAATGGATCAATATAGGTTTTGTAATATATTTGTAGGACTCCTAGTGTATTTGTACCTGTTTCGTAAAGTCCTTTGATAAAACTCGGTTTTTTGGTATATAACCAAAATTAAGTCAGCCTGGAGAACACTGCTTCCTATTGGTATGTCAGTAATCTCTTGTAAGATCCTAACACCAATCCTGACGAAGACATTGTCAAACTGAAATTCAGTCATTTTAAGGTTTGGAGTCAAAAGTATATAACCTGCTCTCCTCGTCCTAACACCAGCTATAGTTACAGTTATTATATAGCTAACAGGTAATACCGTAAAGTCAAGGCGGCTCCCGACATCATCACCTCCGGATGACAGTTTTAATCAAAAGTGTATCATCGGTTTCGGGTTGTGGTAAAAACATACCTCGGGTACCCTTTGTCCTTCAGGGTGTAAAATGGAACAAAAATGATAAAATAGCAAGACAAATGATCTTACACGTGTTTATGCCTTCGAGGTAAAAACGAGTCTTTCAAACATGTAATGGAGAATCAAATTAGTCGGTATCATTAATTCCACCGTATCTTTCATTTGAAAAACAAATAATAAAAAAGAAAATGAATTGTGCTTTGTAATAACATCATTTATTGTATACAATTTACGTAAAGATTTACATATATAGAATAACAATTATATAACAAATATTATCATTGGAATTATATTCTGACTAAAAAACATATATCTTTATGTGGATTTTCTGTTTATTAATTATCGCCCACTTGGCCTATTAACTTCCCCGATAGGTGGAGTAGCTATACGGGCTTAACAACAAAGGCACGTGGTAATGCTGGCCCGGGTCTTCAATATAGAACACAACCTGAAATAAGACATGCACGTGTCAGGTTCTATCACACAAATGACTCACGTGACAGAGACATTTGACAAACAAGGTAGGAGCAAGACGTCTCATTCAGTCACATGGTGTATTGATCTTCTCAACTTTTATCGTAGATTTGTTTTTCTCTACACGAACTATTACAATATTTGTGATTAACAATAAGCAATTAAGTAAAGAAAACATAACCCGTGACAAGCCGACATGTCACCAACTTTCCCGGAAAACTTCATCACCACTGAATTTGAGGATTCTGTTCAATTTTAGTGAAAAAATAAAGTACTCTTTAAAGTGAAAATATGAAAATTTCATAAATTAAAAAAAATAAGCTTCTGGTCTTGGCCTCATTGAAACGTGATTGAAAACACATCTCCACTTATAGGACTTACATAGGCTACAAGCTGGCTGTAAAATCAATTTTTTCACGGCTTCTTAGTTTGTGTCTTCTCCTTGTATATTTGTTGATGAATAGAATATTGTTTTATCTAACATCCGATCCTGGTAAAAATCTAGCACCAACCATGTATTTTTGTTGTTTTACGAGTACTGCACCAACAACAAACATTCACTGCCATACAAAGCCTAGGTATAATACATAAAGAGATGTACTATTGTCTGACATGGAGACTTCCGTTTGTTACCAATATGCCAGTAAATATTTTCAATGGATTTCGATTTCTGAAACTACCGTTTTCAAACCTATAGCCTTTTAGTATGTTTGATGTTATTTCCTTTTTGGATCGCTGTGTGTTTTACCGGTTGGTGGACCTAATGACCTTTTATATTTTGACGGGCCGTTAAGAATATCATAATGATAATAATAATCAAACATATTGCAAATAAACGTGTACCGCTGTATACACTGTATACATAATTCAGTTAATTCTATTTAGAGTGAAAGATATCTTACTTCAGACTGGTCAAAAATATCAAACTTTCCATCCCTTATCCTCAGAGGGTCAAAATTGTTCCAATATTAATTATTGAAATAGAAGCAGATAGACATAAATCTCGGTGTCACTGACCTCGACATATGGGTAGAAACCTTTAGTGTGTAGACTGGCAAAGTAGGCTCCAGTATCAAAGTACAGTTTATAAGTACCGGCTGTCCATTTGTCACTGCTACCAAAAAACCCACCTCGTCCGTCTGTGTTGGTTATCCTGGAGACAAGACATTTTATAAAGAATCAACCAGCATCGGTAAGCTTATATCCTTAATATGTTATTAAACATCATATAGTTTATTAGCAGTGAATTTGTATAATATATGGCCTTTCATAATATCTAGTCACGTTTATTACAATATGCCGGCTTAACCAGCCATCCACTTAAAGATGATTGTGGTATTTCAATTTTTTACGAAAAAAAATACGTTTATTAATTTTACTTGGACCGGCTTTCTATGGTAATAATTTCCCCTAAAACACACGATAAAGCATAGTTTTTAGAAGCCAGATATTGTGGGTTCTTTTACAAGTTTAGGGATTTTTCTAAGTACGTAACAAAAGAAGGCTGAAATAGTTATAATGGAATTTTCCGTGATTGTAAATGGTTAAATGATCCGAGTCACAGCTGAAGGGCAAAATACCCCTAAAGGTTTTGGAACAACAACAGCGATATTAGTTTTCTTTAATTATTCTGAAAATGGTTAAATATTTATCCAATACATCATGTATTACAACAGGAAACGAAGGGAGTGATGACGATCTTTAAAAATAAACCAAAATGTCAGATAAACTGAAATATTACTTATGTCAGTCTCTACACTTGGAACATGGACGTCCCTGACAGGAACAGATGGAAGGAAACATTCAAAACTGTAATAAGTTCATAGTAATAAGATTATCTGAATTTCATTGTACATTGACACCGACCTAATCACTGTTTTTACGCTGAACGCGGAGACTGACAGCCACTCTCTAGCTATAATTTCCTGTACGTATGTATAAAGTTAGTCTGAAGGAGTTGGACTGTCTATTCGCTATCAGTTGTATACAGCATAGTTTTAACAAGTCACACGGCTTTTCAAAACAAATTACTGACCCTGTTTCCACTGTTTGCCATTGCCCACTCTGGTCGAGTTTAGAAAGCGTCATGGCCACACCCTGTGCCGGGCGACCACGCGCCGTGTCCAGTATGTGAGTGGTCAAAGGGGGGCTACTGCCTCCACTCTGGCCTGCCATCGTGATCTGTGATAGAAGGGAGACAACTCATAGATTAAGATAATAATATTGAACTATTGTAAGTATTGTCCAAATAAAACTGAATAAACGATACAAGTCACCATAATACCAAAACAACCAACACAGGAACTGTAAATGTGACAAGATGTTTAACGTTAGATCTGGATGACATTGCAGACCTTGGACTGCCACATCCCAATTTGAACGAGTGACATTTTCAGGACACCATAAGTTATAATTAACAACGAATCTCCACATATCTATTTTACCTTTGGTGTGGAAGCGGATGGTGTTACGTGCCCGATATGACTTCCTACCACAGACAAACGTGTTGAGGTGGACATGTGTTCCACAAGCACGTTTAAACCCGGAAGTTTACATTTGATATCCCATCTTCATCTTTCAGACGCTTTGAAATTTTTAAAGATGCTTGGTCCAGTAAAAGCGATTTACAAAAATAAGTTGTTCTAAGCTCGAGAAACTTGACAGTTACATATAATTTAGTAAATCATGTTCAATTGACTTTGATTATAATGAGTGCAATATACTTCTTAAGTGGTTTCATGACATAACAACTGGACAAAGCACGGGGAGCTTAAGAGATTGCTAATTTACTGAGACCTTCTTATTCTCAATAAATTTCCTCCAAATGTAGCTTTATAAAGCGTATACTTATTTATTTGTATTATATTTCGAAAAACAAACATTTCGCTAAAACGGTAAGTGTACATTTAATTTCAAACAAACAGAACTACACTATAGTTAAATTAACAATAACAAAAGCCAGAAAGAGTAAACAGTTTATAACAAATAGTCTGAATGTTAAAGATTTGGAAGACAAAGTAGAGATGGGTTAGAAACCAATGATACGGCAAATGTTTATAAACAACAGTTGATTAGCCGGATTAGTAACTATGAGTACCTGTGATGGGTCTCCTCCAGACCACGGGGAAAAGAAAAATCCCGAACATGTACTGATCCAGGAGATACAAAACAAAATCGGTTTTATATCCATAACGTTGAGGACAGCGTTATACCGACAGTGAAACAACCTATAGAACGGGTGTTGTGAGCTCGCTAAGCACACACGTATGTACATACATGTTTTAATCGTATGATCAACATATACACCTGTTGTTAAACTAATCACGCAGGACAGGTGTCGGTGTCCGCAAACTGACCGCGACAGGTGATACGATACTGTTTGTGTAAAGTTTTACCTTATTTGACGTCCAGCTGGCTGACCCAAACAACTTTATAACATGAAAATAGAAATGAAAATGTACACAATATGACGCTGTAAACGAATGTTGCCAAGGGTGATTTTACAATAAACAAATTTCAAATCCACGGGACATTTCTGTTTCCCAGTAACTCGATTATCGCAATCCTTACATCAGAAAATCGTTATCTATTCCCGACACCGAGAGCGACCGTCGGGTTTCGGAGGTACGGGGTTGGAAACTTTAGAACGAATCCTTGAAGTGTGTGTACGCTGGACATGTATGGGGAATTTTTAAACTTTGGATGCAATTTGTCGCCAAGTCAGATGTCTCCTGACACGTGATTGGCGTTCTTGGCGACATCAAGTGTTTAAATAGTTTTTCGTGCAGAAGTTGATATTTCTCTACTCTATCACAATAATAGCCCCGCGAAATATACAAAAATAAAATCCGTTTTTTTTATATTTATTTTATTTCTCCCGGGAAATATATTGATATTAATGTTAAGACAATGTAAACGACTTGATACCTCCATTGTGACTACTCGTCATACACAGACCAAGCCTAATTTCTCGATCTTTTAACAACAATAAAAAACTTTTTACCCTTACTCGAAATTACGTATAGCATAGGTTCACAAATCATACATAAGTAGTGATACTGAAGATAGGTAAAACATGTATATACTTACATAAGTAGTAAGTCGGACGGACGACAGCTAAAACATGTACATACTTACATAAGTAGTAAGACGGACGACAGGTAAAACATGTACATACTTACATAAGTAGTAAGACGGACGACAGGTAAAACATGTACATACTTACAAAAGTAGTTAGACGGACGACAGGTAAAACATGTACATACTTACATAAGTAGTTAGACAGACGACAGCTAAAACATGTACATACTTACATAAGTAGTAAGACGGACGACAGGTAGATATGTACATACTTACATAAGAAGTAAGACGGACGACAGTTAAAACATGTATATACTTACATAAGTAGTAAGACGGACGGACGACAGGTAAAACATGTACATACTTACATAAGTAGTAAGACGGACGGGCGACAGGTAAAACATGTACATACTTACATAAGTAGTAAGACGGACGACAGGTAAAACATGTATATACTTACATAAGTAGTAAGTCGGACGGACGACAGGTAAAACATGTACATACTTACATAAGTAGTAAGACGGACGACAGGTAAAACATGTATATACTTACATAAATAGTAAGACGGACGGACGACAGGTAAAACATGTACATACTTACATAAGTAGTAAGACGGACGGACGACAGGTAAAACATGTACATACTTACATAAGTAGTAAGACGGACGGGCGACAGGTAAAACATGTACATACTTACATAAGTAGTAAGACGGACGACAGGTAAAACATGTACATACTTACATAAGTAGTAAGACGGACGGACGATAGGTAAAACATGTACATACTTACATAAGTAGTAAGACGGACGGACGATAGGTAAAACATGTACATACTTACATAAGTAGTAAGACGGACTGACGACAGGTAAAACATGTACATACTTACATAAGTAGTAAGACGGACGGACGACAGGTAAACATGTATATACTTACATAAGTAGTAAGGCGGACGGGCGACAGGTAAAACATGTACATACTTACATAAGTAGTAAGACGGACGGACGATAGGTAAAACATGTACATACTTACATAAGTAGTAAGACGGAAGGGCGACAGGTAAAACATGTACATACTTACATAAGTAGTAAGACGGACGGACGACAGGTAAACATGTATATACTTACATAAGTTGTGAATGTTTTAATTTTTTCTTTGCTGTCTTTCGATGTTTTCCCATTTTCTTTTCTGTGTCTGTTTCCCTCTGTTTGTGTTTCTTTTTCTGTACACGAACCCATGGTTGCTTTTGTCTTCAGATTTGACTACCGCGGATAAAAAGTTAAGTCGGACCTTAATCCATCGTTGCTGACAAACATTCTCCGGTGCCAGATCGTGTGCGATATCCACGTTACTGTGGGGGTTTAGACCCTGGTATCAGGGGAGCGGCAGAGACTTATCAGGGAAATGTCGACCAGAGCAAACAAATGTACTAAACTACACTGTAAAATAATTCATTAAAAGTAACAAGGAGTTTAGACAACCCTATCAGATAATTTCCTTCCAGTTCAGAGATAAATAAATACCGGGTCTAAATTTAAACAAAATTGATTAAATCTTTATTTTGTTTTAAACTATATTCTAATGGGATTCAAAATAATGGAAACAAAATCACACGGAACAATTCAAGAAATAAATTTCCGTTTTTCGTCATCAAAAGTTTATAGTAAATGTGAAAAAAACCATTAAATTAACACACGTAGTTACAAAGACTCGCACTACTTAATCACAGTTGATAGAATAGCAAAATTAAATATCTATTTTATTTCATTCCATCATATTAATAACAGCAGTCATGTGTTACATTATGCACGATAATCAATAGGTAGGTGTTTAAGATAGTGATTCAAAGGAGGTACAACAGGGTACGAATTAAGTCAATTATATGAACACATGTATACCTAGATACAGCCAGGGGCCGAGATCCTTACAGTGTAACTAGATACAGCCAGGGTACGAGATCATTACAGTGTAACTAGATACAGCCAGGGTACGAGATCATTACAGTGTAACTAGATACAGCCAGGGTACGAGATCATTACAGTGTAACTAGATACAGCCAGGGTACGAGATCATTACAGTGTAACTAGATACAGCCAGGGTACGAGATCATTACAGTGTAACTATACCTAGATACAGCCAGGGTACGAGATCATTACAGTGTAACTAGATACAGCCAGGGTCCGAGATCATTACAGTGTAACTATATCTAGATACAGCCAGGGTACGAGATCATTACAGTGTAACTATACCTAGATACAGCCAGGGTACGAGATCATTACAGTGTAACTAGATACAGCCAGGGTACGAGATCATTACAGTGTAACTAGATACAGCCAGGGTACGAGATCATTACAGTGTAACTATATCTAGATACAGCCAGGGTACGAGATCATTACAGTGTAACTAGATACAGCCAGGGTACGATATCATTACAGTGTAACTATACCTAGATACAGCCAGGGTACGAGAACATTACAGTGTAACTAGATACAGCCAGGGTACGAGATCATTACAGTGTAACTAGATACAGCCAGGGTACGAGATCATTACAGTGTAACTAGATACAGTCAGGTACGAGATCATTACAGTGTAACTATACCTAGATACAGCCAGGGTACGAGATCATTGCAGTGTAACTAGATACAGCCAGGGTACGAGATCATTACAGTGTAACTATACCTAGATACAGCCAGGGTACGAGATCATTTCAGTGTATTTGGATACAGCCAGGATACGAGATCATTGCAGTGTAACTAGATACAACCAGGGTACGAGATCATTACAGTGTAACTATACCTAGATACAGCCAGGGTACGAGATCATTACAGTGTAACTAGATACAGCCAGGGTACGAGATCATTACAGTGTAACTAGATACAGCCAGGGTACGAGATCATTACAGTGTAAATAGATACAGCCAGGATACGAGATCATTACAGTGTAACTAGATACAGCCAGGGTACGAGATCATTACAGTGTAACTATACCTAGATACAGCCAGGGTACGAGATCATTACAGTGTAACTAGATACAGCCAGGGTACGATATCATTACAGTGTAACTATACCTAGATACAGCCAGGGTACGAGAACATTACAGTGTAACTAGATACAGCCAGGGTACGAGATCATTTCAGTGTAACTAGATACAGCCAGGGTACGAGATCATTACAGTGTAACTAGATACAGCCAGGTACGAGATCATTACAGTGTAACTATACCTAGATACAGCCAGGGTACGAGATCATTGCAGTGTAACTAGATACAGCCAGGGTACGAGATCATTACAGTGTAACTATACCTAGATACAGCCAGGGTACGAGATCATTTCAGTGTATTTGGATACAGCCAGGATACGAGATCATTGCAGTGTAACTAGATACAACCAGGGTAAGAGATCATTACAGTGTAACTATACCTAGATACAGCCAGGGTACGAGATCATTACAGTGTAACTAGATACAGCCAGGGTACGAGAT